ATTAATTACACTTAACACATAATTAACTGGTTAATCACATCCTAAGTAGTGGCCTGGTCCTGTGTTGAATCAGTTAATGGTGTGATAAAGCAAGAAATAAGCCACAAAGTTATTACACAAAATTGAGGCTGTTTTTTATCATGCCTGAATGTGCAGCCAGTGCCCAGCCTCTGGAGCACACAGGAGCCTGTCAAGACTCCCGTATGCTCCAGAGGCTGGGAGGCCTTTCAGCTGATTAGGGCTTCCTGTCAAGGGAGTATACCACCCATAGTCCCTAGCTGGGAATCATATGTGCTTCTGTGGCTGGAAGTCCCATGAGCCGATTGGGGCACACACAACCGGAAGCACTGATCAGTTGACGGGCTCCCAGCTATGGGATCACAGTGCAATCATGCGGCTGAGAGCCAAGCTTGCTATTTGTTGGTGTAGGGGTGCCCAAGATTGGGTTCCCCCTGCACTAGTAATTTGGTGCAATAGGATCTGATTCAGGATCCCTTAATCACACCTCCTGCATCAGATCCCATCATGCCTTTACCTTAACATCTATCATGGGCTATGGTGCTACTCTGCCCTGCCTCCATGTTTTCTGTTCACAATTCTTTAAGAAATCATGTTGCTTATACAGGAAACATGCTGCTTCATTTTACAAGAAGAGGTAGCTGTGGATAGTTATAATGTAAAACCATTTTGAAAAAATAGAAAATTAATTACCTGTCATAAAAATCCTAGAAAATTTCAAAGGACTGTCAGCCTTCTAAATTATTTTCTCTGTTGAAGTATCCCTGAATACTGTGATCCAAGACCAGGGGGTTTTAGCAAGAGGAACTTGAAAGAATAATCCAAATCTTCAATTGAACAGAACCCTTCTCAAAGGCCAACATGAAATTGCACAATATGAACAGTTTTTTTGCACAGCTTCCTACAGATCCCCACCCCCAATTGTACAAACAAAAAGAAATAGAAACTGAGCCTTAGTAGCTAAAGTTTTCCATACTCCCTGTTAGATTCAATCTACTATAAGCTAAATAAGCAGCCAAACACTCCTGCAAAGTTAAATCTCTAGAGTGAATTCATACTGCATTTGAGATAGATGAAACAGATAGATTGATGGATGGTATAAATGAAGCAAGACCAACCAATTCATCAGTAGAACTGTAACCTGTATGTTCACAGCAGTATCTAGGACATTGATTCAGTGAGATATTTAAGCCCATGAGTAGTCTCATTAGGTACTAGAAGAAGCTTTGTATTTGGATATAAATTCACCAAATATGAGAAGCACAATAAGTGGAAGAACTTACCTGTTCTTTACTGTCTGGGGCAAGCCTGTACAAATTGAGGGAAAAATGGTCAGATAATGGAGTACCCATTCTAGTTAATCAGGAGGTTGAGACCCTCGCTTATCCTCATGGTCAGTGCCAAAAGAATATTGTTAAACCATGTCGGTTTGGCACTGCCATCACAGATGCATGACCTGCTTACTGCTTCTTTGACCTTACAGAAAAGCTGAGAAAAATATTATGCAATAACTTAAGGCCTAAATCTGTGAGTCACAGAAAATGGATGACCTTTAGTACCTTTTAGAAACTGCTCAGTACCAGCTGGTACTGCCCCACTCTTTAATTGTACCTAGTATCATTTTAAACTGAGTATCTTCTAATTAACAACTTCATTCCAAACTCAGAAAGCAACCCTCATAGGTTCACTATCTGCCTCACCAATATGTCAGCTGGTTGCTGATTCTTGAAAATAGATAGACAGATAGTTACCTGGACACTGTAGTGGAGAGAAACAAACCTGGGAAGATTGCTTTGGTTTTGCAGTACTTTGTCAACTGATTAGTAGTTATGCCAAATTCAAATTAGGATGCAACTTAGATCTGGGTCCACTTCTGTGCAAACTCATGAGTGCAAGTTTACACAAGTGTAAAGTTCAAAGAGGGCTTGGGTTAAATCATTCCAGTTTGAACAGTCTGAGCCAGTATCTCCTGCTGACACTTCCTTGTTCCTTTTGGTACTGGTGAGGTTGGTGATCCCTGGATCTCTCCTCCCCTAATTCTCCCACCCAAATTCTTATTGTTAGAACTGGTATTTTGTTCATGTGAAAAAAGTGACAGACTGAACCATGTTAATCCTTTAAAAATCTCTTGAAACATTTTTGGGAGTTTCCTTTTTTTTTTTAATTTTAAAAGCCCCAACCCTATTTTTTAATTTTTTATTCAAATTTTAACCATCCTTTTTTAGATAAAACTCAAAAAATATTCAAAACCACTATTTTGGTAAAAAATGCCATTTTCATCAATAAAACTTATTAAATGAAGACTTCCTACAACATCTACTTTTAGGAGTCCTAGTTTTCTCTGTTTAAAAATCACCAATTCTCTGATAAAAATAGGAAAAATAGCAAATAGTTAATTTGTTTAATGCATTAACCACTCATATGGTTTTGGAGCCTGAGCCCAGGCTCTGCTCTGCCATCGTCACTGCAATGTCCAGGCCACCTAGTAGGGCAGTGGTACTAGCAGAGAGGACCACAGAACAGCCAGGGCACAGGCTCCAGGCTACTGTAATGGGGGGAAGGTGTGCATAAAGACACAGATGAGCAGCCACAGCCTGCAGCCAGCAACATAGCCCACTGGGGTGTAGAGCACCACCCAGCAGGTAAGTCTGTAGGAGACAAGGGGCATGGGGGAGGCAAAACGTGGGGGGAGCAGATCAAGGCCCCCACAGTGAGGAAGGGAGTGGGGCAGGGGCAGGGGCAGGGGCAGGGGCAGGGGCAGGGGGAGGG